GCTCCCCGGTCCCCGGTCGGCGCTCCTGCTCCCGCTGCCGACCGCTGGGCGTGGGGCCGGGGCTGCCTGGCAAACGCTGCTCCCTCCGGTGCTTTCACTCGTGGCGACCTGGCAGGCAGCTCGAAAACTTCTGCTCTTAAGGTACGACACAGGGATGCGTCTGACCTGCAGCTTGCGCCTCTGTTTTTTCCCCAAAGGCGACGCATCGCTGTTCAGCGTGTCCACCACTGCTTTTTCTAACCTCATCATCGCATGGGGTTTGTTCGAAGGGGCTATCGGGCTCTTTTTCTCCCCTGATACAGCTTCCTTCTCATTAAGCCCCCCAGCACTTTTAAGCCGTTCCCCAGCTAGTACTGAGGCTGTTATATGAGCACCAACCTTGTTCCTTCTGCCTTTCTTTTCTGCGGGATTTCTCTCCCCCAGCCTGTCTTTTTCACTTTTTTCTGTGGCTTCTCCAGCAGCTGAGAAGCAGCATGTCCAGCTTTAGGGTGAACCGCTTCACCCAATCTCTGCCGTGCTCTCTCGGGCATCAGGGCCCTGGGACTTCCTGGTACACCTGTGAGGCACGGGCACCAAAACAGCACCATTTTTCTGTAAGGGAGGTTATACAGAGATGTGGGCCTCACGCCAGCATCTTGTGTGTTTGCATACGTTTGTGCAGGGAGTTATATTGAAATAAACAAGGAGCATTACGAAACAAAGTTGCTGATCCTGCGGAGATGCCCCGGGTGTCCTCTCCCACCCTCCACGGTGCAAGGACCTCCCTGCAGGTCCCCTCCTTGGAGGTTTGATGCACCGGGTGCTTTAGCGCCTCGGCGGTTGCAACTATCCCTCAGTTAATGCCAGTGGGGAGGATTTATTTCCAAGCGCAGCACAGGTTCCCTACAGATCTGGCTTCACGACGCTGTAGCGTGGAAATGCAGCCACCCGAGCCCTCGCGCCAGGCAGCCTCTGTTTCGAAGCAGCCTTTGAAAAAAGCGTGGGCAAGGCCCGGGTGGTGACATCCCCATGACATATTGCTCTTGCTCCTGGCTGCAAGTCAGCCAACAGGAATAGCCCCTCAGCAACCAGACTCTCCCCACATCTCCGGCTCTCTGCGGTATACTGCAGGTATCTTCAAAAGCAGATGTGGTTCCGTTTATCAGGCTGGTTTTTGCTCCTCACAGCTGAAAGCATCTGATGCTCAAAGCTCGAAGATCTGTCTCCTGGAGAGCAATAAACAAGAAAGCCCGAACAAGAGAAACTCAAGATGAAAAGTCTACAGAAAACAGAAACCTAACACAAAGACATCACAGCCCCGCCTGGTGCCTTCCCCTCCCCTTGCCTGGCTCTGCTGAGAGTCGGTGCATCCGCATCGGCACAGACTTCACTGACAGGGTTTGCCCAGAGGCACGTTTCTCTCATGTCGCTGCTCTGCCTTATTTCTTCAGGTCACGCCGTGCCCCACGTCTCCTCTCCCCCACTCTCTGTGCCCTCTTCCAGATGTGGCCGCCTTCGGCTCAGTTGCTGAAGATGAGGATGCGCTCCTGAAGCACTTATTTCAAGGCTATCAGAAATGGGTCCGCCCGGTGGAAAACTCCAACGACACCATCAAAGTCCGCTTTGGGTTAAAGATCTCGCAGCTGGTGGATGTGGTAAGCGTTATGTCGAACCTGGTAAAACATCCCGTCCTCCGTGGGCGGTCTTGTATCCACCTGGAAGGGCTGGTTACGTTGTTTGCTTTTGCCTCCAAAGACAAGGAATGCAAAATGATGGTTGGGCCACAACACACTGAGCGTGAGGCAGCGGCAGTGGTGGTGGTGATGGTGGTGATGATGGCGTTGGTGTGACTTCCTGTTCCTTTTCCACAGCTGCTCTCGGTGAATAAGGCCTTATTGCATCAGATATAAACGAACCGCTCAACGCCAGACAGCCCCCTGGCTCCTACGTTTGCTGCTTATTGATGAGGCAGCCACGGGACAGCGGGTGGGGAAGGGTGGCGCTGGTTGGACATTGTTCCAAGTCTGACCAAGGTTTTACACAGGCCAAAGGCAGCTGATAAGTGGACCCAGCTTGCCCCTCAGATAAGATACTGGAGGCAAAAGAGACAATCCCTTTTTTTTTTTTTTTCCCTTCAACTTGGAAAATTTGTGTTCCCTTTCCCCTCTATCACTGCAACGCACAGGGGTGTTTGCACGGGGTAGATGGGTGCAGATGTATCCGCAGGAGGTTGCACTCCCTGCATCCCCCAGCCCCAGCAGCGTCCCCCTGGACCGAGGGAGGGAGACTCTAACTCTGTGCTTTATGTGCACCATCAGGATAATATTTCTTCATGTATCTTCCCAGGCTCAGCCCACCTGGGTGGTGGAGGGCACCACGCCGTCCCAGGAGCCACAGCCTGGGCTGTCCTGACCCCATGAGCTGGCTGAGCCTTGCAGTCTCCCTGCTCCTCAATCTCCTTCCTTTGGGCTGCTATGAAGTGCCAGGCTCTGATTTTCCACCTGGGAAGTTGGCTTGTTTCCTCAGAGGTGGCTGGAGAGCCCAGTCCCACGGGGAAGCCGGCCCCTGGGAGCTGCTCAGCTCCACACGGGAGCAGATGGGCGCAGCCGGAGGGTGGGCTCCTGGTGGCTGTTTTGGCATCTCAGTCCTCTCCATCTCGTGTCGCCCTAGGATGAGAAGAACCAGCTGATGACAACCAACGTCTGGCTGAAGCAGGTAAACGGGACCCTCCTTTCCCCACGTGGGGCAGGGACCAGCGGCCGCCCTGGCCTGCCACCGGCGTGCCACCGATCTTTCTCGGTGATGCTGAGTGGCCGGACAAAAGGAGCACTTTTCTTTTTTTCTTTAAGTTTTAAGGCTTTTACCCTAGTCTCATCACCCCAGCAAATGCACAGAGGGGCAGAGAGGCCAAAAGTGGCTGGGGGGGGGGGGCCCCTTTCAAAGGGCCAGGAAAGAGGGTATCCTCTTTTTCTGGCCTGCCCCACAGGCTGTGGGCTGATGGCAGCTGCACTTTGGGGACGTGACATCTGATCCTGCAGTGCCTGGAGGGACTATACTGTCTCGTGTTTAGAGGGCATCCAAGCCCTGTCTCACTCTCCCCAGCTGAGGCTGATGCCTTGGAGAGGTTTCTTTTTTGGCATAAGTGAAGAGAAGAAAAGGTCAGCTTGTCACCCGTAAAATTAAAATCTGTAGGATTTCTGCAAATTATTCACCTCTCCCTGATAGACTTGTCTCTGGAGGTGATGCTAATGTACATAAGTGAAGGAAACGTTCAAGTTGAGCAATTAGATTTCCTTTCTTCTTCACTCCTGGAGAACATTGTGTTTGGTTTAGATTACGTGACTTTGGTTTATTGACCTGGTGACAATCATTTCAAGTTTCTCAGGCACGTGAGTATCTATAAATGGGTCAGCTGATCCTATGCAGAGGGCATAAAACCCAAGCCTTGCCTGAAATGATGCCATGGGAAGTTGTTTCCAGGAGTCACTGGGCTGGTGGAGCAGAAATGCAGCTTAACTTTTGCTCTTAGTCTGGTTTCTGCAGCGTGGTGGTGACTGTGCAATGAATCGGGGCCCCTAAACACTCTATGGGCATAATAGGTAAAGATGTCCCTCAAAGAGGGACAAGCTCCGTCTGCTGCAGGAAGCAGAGGAATCCCCCTTTTGCAAGGGGAGTTCCTGCTAACCTGAACCCAGCTATTGAGAGCCTGTCCTGAGAGAGCTGGAGAATTACAATTTGCCTCTCCAGCGGAAGGAGGAAGAAACCACTTTCTTCTGTCCTTCTGCCTCTTAACGTGGAAGGACCTACCTGGGGGGGCTTCATGGAGGACACAGTGATTTCCCTGGAGGCCTTTGGAAAAAGGTGCGCAGATTTTAGCCAGGGAAGCTCCCCAGGGGGAAATCAGGGCAGTGATTTTCCTGTGCATCACTAAGGTGGGCTCTTGCTGGTTGTTACTGTTTCTAGTACCAGTTCTACTTCTGATGGGTCGAGAGCAGCAAGACCCGAATGAAGTGCAAATGGAGCGAGCAGAAAAGAAATGAGACACAGACTCTAATTTTCCCACATGCTGGTGCTCCCAGGAGGTCAGGGTGAGCGTTATATACTCATGATCTGACCCAAGTGTCCAGCTTCAGGAAACTGTGTGTTCCCTTAGGCTTCCCCCAGCATGACCTGGTCCCACATGCAACTCGGCACTCAGGTGTTTATTAGAAAAAGTTAGATGATAGCTGGGAACAGGTGAATAAAACTAAATAGAATTAAAACAGATTTTTCTTTCAGAAAGGGAAAAGTAAAAAAAAAAAAAAAAGAAACAAATCAGAACTCCCTATTGATGCAGATCTTTTGTGGGAGAACAGGTAAGTCTGCTGCATAAGGTTGCGGGGGAATCATGGTCGTTACTTCTCTGCATGAGTTTGGCTTTTCTTGGATGAACAAAGCTCAGAACTAAGAGTTTTACGGATCTTTTTTTTCTTTTTGGAAAATCCAGATGCTAAAGGTGGTGGGACCTGATGTGGCCCCACAGAGGGTGCAAAGGAGCTTTTAGTAGTTGCTGAGAGAGTATCTGAGGTCAGGCAATTTGCAGAGTTTGTTAGCAAGTGTCACGAAGCTGGGGCCAGTGATTCTTGGTCTTATTGCTGTGCGAGGAGCCTGAGTGGCAGCCCAGGAGCAGAAATTTGGCACAGCTGGAGGAAGGGGAGAGCAACAGGAGGATTTGGAGCAGGGGAAGCGAGGAAAGGACGCTTCACCTTGGCTGGTGCAGTTCCCCTCAGCACAGAGCCCATGGGGAGATTCCTGTTTTAAACCACTCATCCTCAAAGTGCTCACGCTGTCTATTTTTGCCTTTAGTAAGAAGATACGCAGCCGTTTACCTTGCAGACATGAAAGAGCACTTTAGCTGCGACAGAAATCGATGCAGGGCAGTGGGGAGGGAGGAGGACGGCAAAAGCACCGGAAAACCCAAGATGAGGAGCAGCTCCAGTTTCTCTCCAGGGGGATGATTACGTCCCCAGGTGACCCACGGGGTATCTGCACTGGGTACACTAGCCCAGGCTGTGAGCCAGCTGTGCTGGCCGCTGTGGTGGCCTTGACTATCCCCTCATGCAGCAGCATGACGGGACCTCAGCCCCTTGCGCTCACCTCGGTACCAGCCTCTACAGTTGCCTCCTCTGCCTGCGCCTTGGGCCAGCGCCGATCATAGGGGGCCTCTGCCCACCCCCTGGCCGTGACCTTGGGCCCTTTCTCCAGCCTGGGGCAGGAATATTTTGTGTCTCATTGTCTGTGTCTCAGTCTCTGCTGAGGCTCTGGTGTGCTGTCACACTATAAAGGACCGCAGTATAAGAGTGGGTGGAGATGGCTGTGAAAAGCATGTTGAACCAAATAAATAAGCTGGGAAGAGTAAGGTGGGAAAAGCAGCAGAGATTATCGCTTTTTGGTCCATCTGTAGCCAGTCAGGAAACTACCCAGAGATGCCGAGGCCCCCATATGCCTGAGGAGTTCTTGGCATTGAGCGTTAACAGACAGTATCTCATCTCTGGGTATTGTATCTCAGCCTGGTATGGACAACAGTCCATGCCTCTTGCTTCCCCTCACTGCGTTCCTCAGGGCAGCAGGGAAACCTCATCAATAACAACCAGGGATCAGAGAGTCGCTTTTCACTGCACTTCTGTGGAAATCTCCAGGTCCATGGAGCTGCTTTGCTAGGCTCTCCTCCACTGAAAATCTAGACAAGGAGAGAAAATTTTTCTAGAGTTCAACATGAAAAAAATGGCCAGGACTCCCTCTGCTTTTGCTTTTTTATAATGTCACCTCTTCAGAGCTATCACCAAATGCTTTGCAATAGTGTCCTGTTATTTTTCCTGCAATAGTGTAGGCAACCCTGCTGGGAGAATAACAATTTGGTTTGCAAGAACAGTGCACAGACATTAGGGGATGTCAGTCCTGTGCACTGAATAAAGCTCAGTCTTCACAGAAAAGTAGTTAAAGGCAACCTCTCTGTCCCTTGAACACTAGTAGCCATGCCATTTTACTATCCTATGGGGTAGGTGCCAGCTAAAAACACTGTCAGGTGGTTTTTCAAGATAAGATAAGGTGTTATACCCAAGGGAGGTGGCGCTTTCCTCCTGGATTGCCCTCCGACATGAGGTAGGCTGGAGAGGGCTGTAAGTGAAGTGAGACTTGGCCCTTTCCAGGAGCATCCTGGGGTTACCTGGAGGGATGGGATGATCAGGCCCAGCTGTGACAGGAGGGGCAGCCAGCGCTTGTGGGATTAACTTCCCCTAGCTGTGCCTGCAGGGTATCACTTCCACAGCTGGGGAGCCCTATGCCAGCTCTGCCCGCAGTGCCCTGTAACGTAGCACCTCTGAAATGGATGTGGGAGGATGGGTGAGGCTATTGTGTCCAAGTGGGCAGAGGACTGCTGGCTCGTTGCAGGAATGGATCGACCACAAGCTCTCCTGGAATCCAGAGGAGTACGGTGGGATCACTGCCATCCGCGTCCCCTCTGAGTCCCTCTGGCTCCCCGACATCGTCTTGTTTGAAAAGTGAGTAGCGTTGCTCAGTGCCGGGGGCTTCGGCCAGGGACGAACAGCTGAGCTTGGGCAACGTGTGCCAGGTGCCCCGGGCATCCTGAAGGCCACATGTGCTCTTAGAAAGCTGCTCCTTTGGGCCACACGAATGTCTGCTTCCCTCGTGCCATCGAGCGGAGCTGTGATGGGGCTGGGCTTGGGTGAGCGTGGTGCCCAGCCTGGAGCTCTTTGTCCCTGTCCATCTCCTAGTGCTGATGGACGCTTCGAGGGCTCCCTGATGACCAAAGTCATAGTGAAGTACAACGGAGCAGTGACCTGGACACCGCCGGCCAGTTACAAGAGCTCCTGCACCATGGACGTGACCTTCTTCCCGTTCGACAGGCAGAACTGCTCCATGAAGTTTGGATCATGGACGTATGATGGCAGTATGGTGGACTTGGTTCTAGTGGATGAAAATGTGGACAGGAAAGACTTCTTTGATAACGGAGAGTGGGAGATCTTAAATGCCAAAGGTATGAAAGGCAACAGGAAGGACGGGCTGTATTCTTACCCGTTTGTCACTTACTCCTTCGTTCTGAGGCGCCTTCCACTGTTTTACACTCTGTTCTTAATAATCCCTTGCCTGGGATTGTCCTTTCTAACTGTCCTGGTGTTTTACCTGCCATCGGATGAAGGAGAAAAGCTCTCACTGTCTACATCAGTTCTCGTCTCCCTCACTGTTTTCCTGCTAGTGATAGAGGAAATAATCCCTTCTTCTTCCAAAGTCATCCCTCTGATTGGCGAGTATTTGCTGTTCATCATGATATTCGTGACCCTCTCCATCATCGTGACGGTCTTTGTTATCAATGTCCACCACCGGTCCTCAGCAACCTACCATCCCATGGCACCCTGGGTGAGAAGACTCTTCCTCCAGAAGCTGCCCCGGCTGCTCTGCATGAAGGGCCACGTGGATCGTTATTCCTTCTCGGACGCTGAGGAAAAGGGAACCACCTTGAAGTCAAAGCTCCCAGGAAGGCAGAAACACAAGCAAGCAAAAGATGGAGAGAAAATTGTTATCGCCTTTCTGGAAAAGGCAGCTGATTCCATTCGATACATTTCCAAGCATGTTAAAAAGGAGCATTTCATCAGACAGGTAGGGGAAGGGAAACAGAAAGAGATGGCAGCTTCTTTGACAGCAGTGGTTGCTAAGTTTTTTCCTATTCTGCATGCCTTTCTATTTGCCTCTTCCTCTTGTCTTCATCTGGGACATGGCCTGGGGGCTTCCCCTGCTTGATAAACGGCATGGTTTCCAGAAAAACGCACTGCTCCAAGGGGAGCTGTACTGTGCCCAGCCCCTGCTCTTCCAAACACGAGAGGCCACAGCAGCCTACCCCCGAGGGGTTCCCATCTTGGGATTACTTGGATAACCTTGCCCTGCCTGACCTGGAGGCAGGCAGCAGTGTGGAAGCCACATGCTCCAAAAATTATACCTTTCTCAACACCCATAGGCAGGCTCTGTGGCAATTAGTAAGATTCAGTCTTGGCCTCCCAAGACTATGCAGTGTAGTTGCACCTTTTTGAGCGGGGGTCTTCTTGATTTACACTATTCTCAGTTTAGATTAGTCCCTAAAGGCCATCCTTCTCCTCCTCCCAACAATCCACCTGCCTATTAAAAAACCAGATTTTAAAAGTTAACTGAGCTACAATGCACATAAACTATGCATCCCATGTGGGGGTAAGACAGCAGAGGGCAATGCACACAACAGAGCATGGAAAGAGAAAAACTTTTGTTAGTATCCTCCTAGCAATAGCCAGGGCCTTGCTCGAAGCGTGTTGAGAGGGCTTCAGCAGAGGGATGAACAGTAAATTAAATGTGCAGCCGAAAAGTATTTGAACATACAGTGTCCATGCCTGAGGCCTTCTGTTTGAAGCGGAGAGGATTTAAAAAGAGGTCCCCTGAATTACTTTTATAAATAGCTCTGGCCTGTGTGCAGGGTTGGGCCAGTGCAAAACCCCCTCCTTAATGTACACAACCTGAGCCAGCAGAGCACTTAAGAGAAAGAAGCCAATGGGACCACTGTTGCTGGAAGCAAAGTCTGTGTTAAAGTGTTTTGCTAGAGCCAAGTGCTGGCACTCAAAGGGAAATGTTAAAAGAAACACAAATCATTGTAAAGCCATCTTGAAGCTTGGGTCGGTAAACTTTTACATATGCACTTAGCTGAGAGCCTCTGCACAAGCTGAAAGAAGTCTCTGATTATTGTGTGCTTCAAGCTATGGAAATGCTTTGGTGTTTAAGGGACCAGCAACCACTGGTGCTGAAAAAGTGATCTTTTCCGCAATGTTGATTTCAGACTAGAGCACAATACGAACTTCTGTTTTTTAAAATAAATTTTTATTGCTGAAATATATGTAAGAGTATTCAAAATACCAGGCTCATTAATGCCTCTGGTTGTTCTCCCTCTCTCCTTCGCAGGTCGTCCAAGACTGGAAATTTGTAGCTCAAGTCCTGGATCGGATTTTCCTGTGGTTGTTTCTGGTGGTGTCAGTGACAGGTTCAGTTCTCATCTTTACCCCTGCGTTACAAATGTGGCTGAACAGTAGTTTGTAGAATGTGCTTTCACACTAGCATACACCAAGCACAAGGCCATGGGATGGTGGAGCATCTGAGCTTGGTCATTTTTTGCTGTACAGGATGAGAAGCAACAGCAAGACTGAGTGAAGGTGGTGATGATAACAACAGGCATTGACTGGTGCTTTCTATCTTCACACAGCTCTACCAGACAGTGACTTGACTGAGATCAGAGAAGGGCTTCGTGGCAGCCAAGTACAGAAGTGAACTGGGATGCATGATCAGGTTATACGTATTTTATCTGGTAGCCTGGTAATATTACAGCATGAGCCAAGATACTAGTTTGAAATGGAAATAGTACTTTTGGTGCAATGAATAAGTTTAAAAGTCAGATCCTTCAGTTAAGATGCTACCGTTGTACAAGAAGTTAAACTGTAGCAGCACCACCGAATCAATACTCAGTTCACCTGTCCACAATTTCAAGTAAAAACCACAAAGGCTCTATAGATCACTGTGCATGTGTCAGAACTGACCATTGCATAGCATGTGCATTAGGAAAAGTACAAATACCTTTTAGATGGGTTATTCAAAACCTTAACTCTGTGGCCTCACCTTGCTGTCAGGATCAGCTCAACAGTGGGAGAACCTGCAGCTCTGCCCACCTGCTACCAGCCTTTCTGGCGTGCACACGTTCTTCATGCATCTCTCCTCTTGGCCGTTGGGACACTACAAAGCGTTACCCACTATTTGATATTACTTGCATTTGTACCTCATGCTCAGTAACATACCAAAAGGCTGGACAGGTTAGGGTTTTCCCCATGCTCCAAATTTAGAAATTGTGATTACTGCACCTACCCTTTCACAGGGTTGGAAGTTGGAGAAGACCTGAAGCATGATGCATGGGGGAAGCTGGCCCTGCTGCTCCACGTGGCAATGATGAACTTCCTAAATGGTTCAGCTGGAGAGGAGCTGTGGAGGTCCTTTTTGGTGAAAGAAACTTACTGTCGATACAGACACGGAGCTTCTCCTAGAGCTATGAGCTGGGCTGGCTGCTAGGAAGTTCTCTCTTTGGGGGCTGGCTTGTTCGTGTTTCCCAGCCAATTCAGAATTTCATTCCTTTGGTTTATTCAGAAGGGATCCTTCTGCTTTATTAGAAACACTACTTAAAAGTGTAAATGAGACCTGATAGAAAGGTATAGGTGAGATTCTCACCAATTTCACTCGAGGGAAGTTATGCCGGCATGGAGTCCTTTACAAAATCCCACTTAGAACTTTCCGACATTTTCAAGGCTAACAAGGGATTCAGACATGCAGTTTCCAAGAACCTCGCTGTGAGACTAATGTTAAGGTGTTTAGCTAGCCTTGAAACTCTGTTCCTAGGGGTAGAACTTAGAAGATATTAAAAATGCATAAACACATTCGTATGCTTGGATTGTGCATGCACGTCAGACCTCTCTGAGTTAAGATCATCCCTAGTCTGGTTATGTCACTGCAGAAAGCTTTGTTCACTAGTGCGAACATGATAAATAAAGCTGTACTTAGTAAATGATTTCCGGGGGCAAAGGATGCCTGTGTATCACTGCTGTTTCTTTTTTGTCGGTGTAACTTGCAGCCCATTTAAAAAGCCTTGCCTCAAATCTACTCAAGATTTTGCCCGGTTTTTGGAAATCCCTCATTTCTTTTTAGCTCTGCGCGTGTGTGTTTGGTGCGGGGGGTGGATGGAGGAAACATTCAGAGCTGGTTATTATATCACTCAAATGTGGAACACACCCACTCAACATATAGATATAGATACCTTACTGTAAACACAAGTGTCCGTATAGCAATCTTAAACATTGGCCTTATTGCCAGCTGCTGGGATCTCCTCTTTGCTTGCTTTGCTCAGGTCTGTTTGTTCCCCTGGCCTTTGAAATATCCATAGCACAGCAGCCGGGAAACTCTATGTGCGGCAGTCAGTGAGTTTAGTCAGCATTAGGTTTTCCCCCTAAGCACTACTGGCAAGGATCTGTCTGCCTGCAGGGAGAGGCAGATGACAATACCCTGCCCTAGGCAAGCGCTCCAGGTACTTGCGGGCAGATGGTCCCATCCTTGCCTTGTGACACTTGAGCTGCCTGCCCCGCGGACTGGTTAGCGATGCCTTTTGTGCTCCCCGGTCCTTCTGCAAGGGCAGAGCTGCGCAGTAGGACTGCCCAGACAGTTCCTCAGGGTGGTCCCACAGTTGCAGGTAGCCGTTTCGCCTCAAAAAAGGCTATGCCCAACTGGCTGGGTAACAACCCTTCCTACCTGAGCCCCTGGATTATCTGCAGCACAGAGCTTATCTAGGAGAGGAGGACTATGATAGTCCCTTTCCCTCTCTCTCACGCCGCTATGGCTGATGTCAAGTGCTCCTTCTGGCTCATGCTGGTAAAGGTCACCAAGGCTCGTGTTCTCGGGGTGAGAGACATGTGAATACTCTGCACAAGCATGGCTTTTGGCCTCCGGCTCTAGGCCTGTCTCCAGGTTTTCTATATCTGTAGCCTCACCGCTCATTATTTCCTCAAACTGACTGCTCCTGAGCTTCTGTAAATCTGTTGGTCATTGGCCTGCAAACACATAGAGGCAATCAAAAAATGCCTCTTTTGTGTGCGTATTTCAGCGTCCACTCAGATGTGGCCCCGCTGCAGCTCTCCCCGAGGTGAGATGCTTACCAGGTCCTTCCTCTTTCCAGGCAGCTGCCTATTTTTACGGAATTGGCAGGAACATAACCACATACAAGGCTTCTAGTCTCCTCTCAAACACAGCTGAAAATGCCAAAGGATCCAAAAGCTGGTGGGTGGAGGGAAAGAAGGGGAAATGGTGCATCAGCAGCACCCAGGGAAAGACAGAACATTACTTTGCTTGCTTTCTTAGGATACCAGGCTGACAAGCCTAGCTATCCAAGGCCTGTGTTTGAGGCCCCAGGAAAACCATACCCCTGCAGCCGTAATACTTTCCGTTGCTCACAAGGATGTAGATGTCAACAGAAAATGCTGGATGGCAGATGTCTTCCCCATAGGAATGAAGCTTTCAGGCTTAGAAAGTAGCTCTCCTCTTCCTACTCCCCTGCTTTCCCCTCCGCTCCTTGCTGTTTTAGCAGCCTGCGCAGCAAAAATTATTTGGTAGCATCTCTGCATCTATCATACGATTGTGAGCTTTTGAAAAAATACAAATTCTTCAAGAAACGGTGTCCCAAGAGTTGTATTTAATTAATAGGCTGACAGAATAAACCATGCTTGCTCATACGTTTGTCTGTTAGTCACTACACAGCCATACAACAGTCCATCAGGTGGATTACAGAAAATATTATTTTCTTCTAGAAAATAGACTTTACCTATTTCAAATACTGGACTGAGATGGTTATCCTCTTGTCATTCTCTGCTGTATATTCTAGTTTCATCTGTTTTTTCAGGGAGTATCAGAAAAAGTAAAAGGCCAGTCAGGGACTTAAGAAACAAGGAGTCACACTCGCCTGAGAAATGGCGGCATTCAAAGCACACATTGACACATTGCAGGCACTGAAAGTACTGTACTTACACTGTAGAGCTAAAGTCAGAGTCGCCTATAATGGGGGGAGGAAGGGGGGAGGTCTTTTTCTCTTGAAGCCTTTGGCATCAATAGGAATGATGCCTTTCAGTAAAGAAGCCTTTGGGGCAAAACCATGAGGAATCTGAACAGATACGAGCCCTGAGGGTAGACTGACCATAGTTTAGAAACGCCATCAGGTGCATGGCTGGAAAACTTTTCAGGATTATTGCACTAGGACACTGCAGCTCCATACTATTTGGCACCTGGTTTCACAGCAGCAAGCTCAGCCCCAAAGGGAGCATCCTTGCAATTACAGAGTAGGTTTGTGCACACAGGATTCACCCGCAAGGAGCCAGCAAAGGGAAATCTGCTACAAAGCTGTTTGGATGAAGGTGCTCAGCTCTGTATGGGATTCGCGATAGCTAGCCTTCTGCTGCTATGATGTCAAGTCTGCCCTTTTTTTAAGACCACAGGAAGACCCAAGTCAGAGCAACGCTGTCAAGCCAAGTCTGTCTGTGACAAGTGAATAGCATTGTCAGGGGACAAACTCAGGGACAAACCTTTCCCGAGCGGGACTTGTCTAAGCCTGAGCCAGCAAAAGTTTTCAGAGCAGACCCTCGTTGATGGGGACCACTGTTAGGCCAGTGAGAGAAACATGTGGCCTGGAAATCCTGCTGGAGCTCACCATGCGGACTGTTTGGTGTTCGGTAGCAGGAAGCAAAGGGGACTTTGAGCGCCTACAAAGCTAAGTGATAGAAGAATCAGCCATTTCAAACGTGGATTTCAAACTACAGACATTTCTGATCTTTCCTGGTTTTCTGTATTGCCACCACGTTATTCCTCTGTGATGACTCTAGGGTGCTCTAGATGGTGTCTGCGAGGCTACATGGAGGGCAAATTGTCAAGCAGGTTTGTCTATAACTATGAACAGGTGCTTAAGACCTGTTTGACTTCAAGTACAAACATAAACGTGTGCATTGTTGATCTCAGATTTTTCATTTAGGTACACGCATTGCTAAAGCTGGGGAAACCTCATTTTAGATTGTATCCAAGATGTCATAGGGTCAAGGTCATCAGTTTGATTGTACTTTTATTTGTATTATTGGCTTTCCCATCACAAGATCTCAATAAAGAGCATTCCTCCGGTCAGTAAGACCACGGTTCCTCATTCGAGTGCCATATGGAAAACTACGACAAGGAGAGAGACAGAGAGTGAGGGAAGGTAAATAAATTCAAAGCTAAGGAAGAGTTAGGACCTGGAGAAAAAATACGCAGCCAGGTAGAGGCTGCTCTGGGGAAGATACTCAAAAGTGCCTGAACTGTCCTAATACCTACCTCTGGTCTGAGGGCAAGGGGAAAACTCACTAAGTTTGGTTAGTGGCCCCCTTTGGTCTTATTATTGCTGATCTCACTGAGGCAAAGTCAGACAGACATTATAAAAATCCTAGCAGTTTTGCCTTAAAAAGACCACATGCTCATCTCCAATTTTTAGTCCCCTTCTCATGATACTTTGTGTGATTTTCTTTCTCAGAGGACCTTTCCCTTCTGACCTTCCCTTTATGGGTAGATGCTGAGGACAGGCTGAGCAGAGGGGTAGCATGAGAGGAGAGAAATGTAGGGAACAGCTCTGAATTAAAAAGCAAATACAACAAAAATGGATACAGAGCAGTGGATCGGGGTTATATGTCTGCTATTAAAGGCTGAAGAAAGAGGCCTGCAGTCCCAAACACACAGAGGATTATGAATACCCAGAGAAACACTCTGTCTATCACCATAGCTACGTATTTCCAATCATCTTCCACCTGCAAGAGAAAGAAAGAAAGGATAAACCACATGTAACGTAACATGCGCTTGTGAGTTGACAGTATATGATAGAAAAGTCCCTTGTGGGACAAGGAAGAAAGACATATGTACGGGTGAGAATAGAGTGCTATTTGCTGTTGTTTTCAAGTGTTTTTGGAGGGGGCTGATTTTCAAAGAGTGGGTATAATCATTGCATAAGATCTGGGCCCATTTCTGTGCCTCTCCCTGAACTATCTGCCGCTTTTGGCTCCTCTGGCTGAATTCGCCACTGCCACTCCGCTCAGACTCGACATGTTTAAGCAAACCGAGCAAGAGGACTATAGCAAAGCAAGGGCCCTGACAGAGTGAAGTGCAGCACCACGTGTGCTCAGCACGCAGGCAGGGTGAACTCCTTACCTCCGAGACATGCACCCTAGAAATGTGTACAATGCGGTTACTGCCTTCTAAACTGTACCTACGTATGTGGACCATTGCATCAAAGGACGAACATCCACTCGTATAACGCCTCGTGTTTTCTACATAATCTCCACTGAGGATTCTTCCCCTCTGTTTTCTTTTCCCAGTTTCTTGGTGTTTTCCTCCAAGAGGCTGCCACTGTGCTTCTTGTGAAAGAAAATTCAGCATGCTGCTGTAAGTGCTGTAAATGTTGCCACCGTTTTAAAGGTCTGCTGTTCCTACGGTGCTAGTGCATGGTATCACCCAGATGGCTTTGCATGTCTGGCTGAAGCAGGCAGCAGCCTGCAGAAATGTTTCCTCAGTCCCTGCCTGTGAATGAACCCCATTTTTTCCCTGCTCTGAGAGAGGGATTGTTCCCAGAGGAAAAGTCCGGCCTCTAATATACCTTGAAAGCTAAGAGACAGAGCTGCTGACGCACATGCCAGTCTGAGAATGCGATTTCATGTGGCAGAAGAGCTCTGCAAAATGCGCATCAGCAAAACTGGCAATGGAAGAGTTGTCATGAGCTGTGTAATCAAAACGGCATGTTCCCGGGACTGCTTCACGCAGAACCTCTGCTTATTTGGTGTGCATCAAAGACACCAGATGGATAGGCTACATGGCCAGGTTTTCTGCAGCTGGAGTGGCAGTGAGAGCAGGACTGAAATGTTGGGGTCAAGCAAGACACCAGGGCACAGGTTCAGCTCATTTCCCATCTCCTCTGTGCTGAAAGACACCTACCTTTTGTTTTGGGCCTGGCACGCAGTGCCAGATCACCCCAGGTACTTCACTCACCAGTTCTAACCATACCCCTGCGCTCAATGTTAGGTTCCTGTTTTGTCACGAAAATTTCTCCACTGTGTACAAAAAAGAGGGGGGAAAGTAATTTGGGGGTGGCACAGAAGCCTCCTCGGTTTATGCTGATCTCAACAAATTATTCTGATAGAAACACCAGTGTTTTCCTTACAAAACACTTGCATTATTTTCAATAGGAAAACAGCAGTTTTTCATTTTGAAATGGATTTTGCCTTCATACAGCATCTAGAAACTCAAAACCCAAAGGAAACATTTCAAAACTGGTCAAGGTAAATGTTTCATTAGGTTTGAAATACTTTTAAAAACATCTCGGAGTGTCTGATGATTCTTATTCTTTGTGAGGCCTAGGTGGTCTGACAGTCTTTGTCGGAGCTGCTTTTAGTTACCTGCGCTTACACCTGAGGACTTGGGCCCTTAAAATACTAACCTGCATCATTTCCTATGACAATTATTTTTGTCAGGATGAAATATTTATAACTTCCTGTAGGCAAACCCATGAGTCCAAATGCCAGGTTTCATTTTTAAAACCCCTTCTCTCTTTCTTCAGTCTGCCTTTATGCGTCTCTTTTCTGTTTTTATTCAGCTGTCTTCCCCCAAAACTCGGTTTTTATTTCAAAGCATGGTTGTCGTGGCTGAAAATACTTGCTTGTTGAAGCTGCAGTTAGTCATATCAGTGTAAAAAATTCAAAACAGACAAGACTGAAACAAAGTACAGGCAATGGCATCCTGAAAGGAATATCTTTACCAAATTTATCACAGGCTGAGAATTGCTCTTCTCCAGCGCTGCTAGACAACCCTGTTCATCAGAAAGCAGTTCCAAAATTTGCTTGTTCAGACAGCATGCCTGAACTGGAAACCCCTTCAAAGCAACTCTCTTTGTGAGTGCAACCCCAAAGTGCCTCTGTGGAAGCTGGGGACCACGCTCCCTTTTTAACGCAGAAAAGCGCCTTGCTCGGTAAACAGCACTATTGGCCTCAAGGCATTGCCGTTTACCAGGGCTGAGCAGATGGCAAGCGGCAAAAGGGTCATTTTTGAGGCACTAAAGAAGCAGGGTTGAAAGAGGCCTTGAAAAGTCTCATCTAGTCTACCCCTTGCCTCACGGCAGGATCAGCTCTGCCTGAACCACTGCTGATCAATGCTCATTTACCTCATACCTCATGGCCTCCACAGGTAGATGCTCCTCTCCTCCCCCGAGAAGGGTCGTCCCCATGTGTAAGCTAAAACTTACTTGCTGCTTAAATTATTCGCTGGGGATAGATGAAGAACAGACAAGCTCACTTTTCTTATTCCACCCCTAATGGATGATTTATCTCCTCCCTTTCTGTAGGCAATGTTGACCCCTCTGCAGGTTTCAGAATTCTCCGCCCCAACAACTCCAGTTCCTTTGGGCTGCCCTCCTAAGGGCTGTTCTTCAGCCCTCGCTCGCTGTCCTCTTGTGTGTTTTCCCGTGCCCAGCTGGGTGAACACCCCCTTACCTCTTTGGTTTCATTTTGAGACCTCATGTTCTCCGCAATGAACTGAACGCTGCTAATGACATTCTTCACTTCTGGGGAGTAGTCCACGTGCTCTGCCGTCCATTTCAGCGACTGACGGCTCAGTCGCCTGCTTTTGCTGGTCGCCAGTTCAGCTGCTCTATCACAGTGACAGCATAGCTGCTCCTTCTGTAATTTAGCATCTCTGTGCTCGCTGTGCTTTGACTTGCTTGGCTTATTGGTTGAGCCTTTCTTGGTCTTTCTGGAAGTGTGTTTTTTCTGCTGTTCTAGAGACCTCTGCATCAGCAGGACTTTTGGGAGCAGGCTAAGAAAGATGGTTTTTACCCATTTGGGCATCGTGTGTGTGGTTGGGGTTCTGTAATGTATATTCAGGACAAACACAGTGATGACAATGGACAAAGTCACGAATATCATGGTGAAGAGCAAATATTCACCTACAAGGGGAATTACTAAAGAGGTGGATGGGATCGTTTCTGTGATCACCAGTAAAAATACAGTCAAGGAAAGCAGCACAGAGATGCAAAGAGTCACTTTCTCACCACAGTCAGATGGCAGGTAAAAAACTAACACAGTCAGGAATGAGATGAAGAGACAGGGAATGATTAGATTTATGGTGTAAAACATTGGCAGTCTTCTAATATAAAAGGAATATGTTATGTCTGTGTAGATCTCTTCACAGCAGTTATATTTGATGTCATGTTTGTAGCCAGAAGCATCAACTATTTCCCATTCACTATTTTCCCAAAAGTCATTCATATCTACTTTGGAACCAATGATCAGAAGATCAATTTTGGCTTTGTCATAGGTCCACGAACCAAATTTCAGCGAACAGTTCTGATGGTCAAATGGGAAAAAGGTGATATCCATAGGACAGGAGCTTTTAAAAACAGCTGGTGGGGCCCAGGTGATCATTCCATCGTAGCGAAGGAGGGCTTTGGTCTTGCCTTCAACCTGAAAATCTCCCACAGCACTAGAAAGAAAAATGAGGCAAAGAAAAGAAAACGACCATGAAGGTAAAAGAACACCTTTCAGGGGCATTATACGAGGAAAATTCTAAGAGAAAGGGTGAAATGGAAAAGCATTCGTCATACTTGTTGTACAACACAATATCTGGCTTCCAAATTTTATCTGCTGGTACCCGAACAAATTCAATGCCGTCATATTCTGTGGGATCCCATCGCAATCTGTAGTCGTTCCAAATCTAAAAGTAGAATGAGTAAGGATTATAAATTTATTGTTATCAGCAAATATCTGCCTCTCGGATCTGCCTGGAAAATGGCAGGCTGTAATAGAGACTGAAATCACAGCATATGTGAAAGGGGATAATAGCTCAAAGGACAAGAGGCCATGCATTGGACAAATGCTGGAGATGCACAAGTTTTGCTCGCTTTGATTTGCTCTCTCTTCTTCTGTGTTAAGCTAGGATATTGATTGCCGAGACAATGAGACCTCCCCTTGACCTGCTGCAGCAGCGCAGACCCTGGCCTGTGTAAGGTTACCTCCCCAGTTTGAACAGAAAACACAGGCATTATTGCTGTCGGTATCAGAGTGAATCCTGAAGGCTGAAGGAGATCAGTATCTGAATGAGAAAGGTGCTACATATGCACACTGTAGCAGGCGGTCTCTGCCAGGGGACATTACTAGCTGCACAGGGGCCGTGAATTGCCAAGTCAGGGAAGCCAGAGATGTCCTGCAGATCTCTTGCATTGCTATCTAGCGCCCTATCGTGCAGCTCACCCTGGGGATCCTGCCTGTGAGCACAGTAGCGTTTGCAGAAAGCTTTGCGTAGACCGCAAAGAGGGCCTGAAGGAAGCTGGTTGTGGTGGAAGACGGTTGTTTCTCTCAGCAATTTGGATGTTCTAAGGCTCTTTGTCTGTTTATGACTGCTAAAACTGTCAGGAGAAAAGGAGGTATGTTCCTTTTGCTAATAAAGTTTTGGCTGGAAGCATCAATGGAGATGACCTGGGATTGTGGAGCTGTACATTTAATCATTCCTTAGCAGATCCATCCAGCTAAGTGCAATTCATTGGATAAACAGATGATAACGGAGTTCGAGGAGAATACACTGCACAGAAGAGATGGGTGACACTTTCTCTCTCCGCAGAAATATGACCATGCAATGAAAATGACTTTTTCAAATGGAGCTTTGATTGATGGAGATTCTTTTCCTTATATATACCTTTAAAATCCTTGTTACTAAGCAAGCACTTATTCTGCGCACCTAACTTTCAAGGTAACACATACTTCATCTTATCTATGCAAAATACATAAGAAATGCAAAGCAGTCACTTACATGTCTCAGCCACAAATTGGTTTCCATTATCTGATTGACCTCATCCTAGAAGCAAACACAGACATGCACATCATCACTCCATAAATCTGTTACAGTATCCTGAGATGGTCACAGATTTATTCCGATAGAAGTGGAAACTAGTATTCCACATTAGCAAACATGAGCTTTTTCTGGTCTGTGAGTCTCAGCTGATCACAGGCTATTTCCAGGGTGCTCATGAAAGATAACTAGGCAAAGCAAGGCTGTTTCCAGGGACCTTAAATTTCTACACAGTAATCTGCAGCTCTACAGAATTCTTTTTAGGGGTGGTGACCCCCAAATATCTGACACACCAGGAGTGCGCCAGGGGCCTGAATGCATGAAGACAAAGCATACGATTAGTCTGACCACTGAAAGTGGAACAAGGTTCTTCTTGTAGCTGTATGTTTTGTTGGATTCAGTTTCCAAAATGCCTTGCCTCCATAGAGTACTAATCGAACTTCAGGGAAAATGCCATCCATAGGGCGGTGTTCTTGCATTTCTGTGCAAGCTCCTGGAGCAGATGCATTGAACCAGCACTAAATTAGGTGGCTGTGGTACTGTCACCTCCTTTTTACGGCCAGAGATAAATCAGGAAGGTGCTGCATAAGGCACAAAAATAAATGATGGGTCCTGTTTTAACGAGCCTTCAGCCTAGAAGAATTTGCAAAGAATCAGATTACATATATTTATGGATTCAGGGTGATATTTGCAATATTTATGAGAATGTTTCTTCAGAAAATCCAGCTTTTTCTCATTTTCCCTTTTTTTCCCAAAGGCAGTTCCAGGGGCTGTTGGGTAAAATAGAAGCAAACTCTAGAAATCTGCCAAGTTATCTGCAATCTGGAAACAAAAAACTTTGACATACTAATTCCAAAAAACGAGAGGTCAAAGCCCTGTCTCCACCACGAGGACTTACAATGCCTTTATTTACACTCTCAAATAACTTAACTCCCCAGCTGCTCCTGAATCTTACTCCATTCTGCTTGTCCCTGGCTTCATTGTGCACCCAGAGGATTGACATCCAGGTTCTGTTCTGCCAATAATTCATTTCACAGAGCAAACTTCACAGGCAATATGGGTGCAACCAGACCAGGTTTTGTGTCTCACACAGTCCCTCTACGCTGTCCCAGCAGGTTTCCCACTTTAGGCAAACTCGCCCTTGTACACACACGTTCCGCAACACGCAACGCTTGTTCCCCGTTCAGTGTCTGAAAAGACCACTCCACAGGCTGCAAGACAGCTCTGACGTTATTCTGAACGGACCAAACTGAACTAAATATGGAAAAAATAAGATGTTATGCCTCAGGGCCACTGGGAAATGACACCGGCCCCAGGAGAGAACCAGGCCACATGCTATACAATACGGACACAGGCAGATGGCTCTGGGGTGGGCTGGTCCTGTGGAGAGTGGGCATGACCATTTGGCACTGCTACTCTGGGGGCCGGAGGTTGCTCCCTGGAGTGGAGGGATTTGACATTAGAGAGACAGAAAATAAATCAGTACTGTTTGAACCACTCATTAGAGCACTGAAGGGACTTGGCTTACAGACAGAACTGGAAAGGACTCAGCATACACACTTGCATGCACATGATAATGTGAGCCATGAGGCTTTCAGGTGCAATCATCACAATTATGTTTGCTGTTTTAGCAGTTTACTTGTGTTTGCACACTTGAGCTCTCTTCCCACCCTCATGTCTCAGCAGCCTACTGTAATGAGTCTTACCACGTTTGTAAGCTGGGTAATGGCCACTTCAAAATGCACTGTGACAGGATCAGACACGTTTTCCACTGGCCTGATGAACTGGTTGTAGTGGGAGAAGAGTTTATGAAATAGTCGTTCTTCTGATTCACAGGCTGTGACACCTGTGTTGATAAAAATAAACAAGGACAGCTACTTTAGAGGTAAGGAAGAGGGAAAGAAGATGTTGGACAATGTGCTATTCCACGACATGTTTCTGGATCCTGTGCTTGTGACCGTATACCAAGACCCAGAAGCAGAGAGAGAAGAGAGCTCATACGATGCTGCCTGTCAAAGCGTTCTCCTGCAGGACTTTGCCCACTGCTCCCTCTCTCCTCAGAGCTGAAGGTGATGGCCTGAATGGAAACGTCCCCTGAGCTGGATATGGTCCACAAAGACTCCACTTGACACACCTTGATATCAGCCCAAGGTAGAACAGGGTCTAGTGAGTGGAAGCTGAAGCCGAGCAAATTCTGAACAGAAGCAAAGCATGCATTTTTCAGCCAAAAGAAGAGAAAGACAGCTTCCCTGGAAATGAACTCACCTTTGGATGCTTTTATTTTAAAACTGAGAGTTTATGAAAAATATAGCTTCTTACTCAGAAACTGAAAGCTTGAGGCTGCAGTTACTGGGTTAAAATCTGTGTCAGAAAGTCTGATTAGGTGATCATGAAGATTCCTCCTAGCCTTAAAAGCTACGGGTACATTTTATCCTCAGGTTTGCTATTTCAGCTCTTTAGAACAATTTCTACTCAGAAGGATGTTTGTTCATTAAGCTGGGTAATAAAAGAAGTGGAAATGTTACAATTTCTCATAAAATACCAGGCACTGCTGACATACAGAGCTGTTCTTAGGGAATAAGCAGGTCATAGCTGTAACTCTCAGTCAGTGCAGGACAGGCTGCATGGTTCAGCGGGGATAAGCTATGTGACAGGGATTGAGCTGCCTCACTGCAGACTCAAGATGAATGCTCTGAATCCATTACACACAGTCCAAATCCGAAATAGTTATTTTCACAAGGCTAAAGGCTAGAAACTTTGATTTCAAAAGGAAGGATTAGATCACGTGGGCTCTGGTGACACCAGCTTGGAAAAATATCTTTCTTGGGTGACTTGGCTATTTCAACCCATTACTATAATTCAGCACTTAAAGTCAAAACACTTCATAGAGCAAAGATTTAGAACTAGCTTCTCATATTGACCATAGCTATATTGTCAAGGCTGCAAGATGCAGCCAAGGGTATTATTGATGTGAATGAAGAAAAATTACTGTTTCACATACATGGTCATGGTGTTTCACATTAGACTCAAACTACACTGCAGTACTTCAAGAAAGCATCCACAGTCAGCCTTGATGGCTGCAGAAACCTTAAGCCCAAATGAAGTTTGGGTTAGGTAGAGTGGTCTCTGGTATGGCACAGGACATAAATTTGCATTTAGCGTTTCCTCCAGGGAACACAGTGGCCTGTGGTTGAACAGGGGTCCTATAGGGAGATGCTTAGTCTCAGCATACAGCACTGATTTCATGCGTGGGCCGCCCTTTCTCTGTCTTTAAAAAATGATGTTTCTGCCTCTAAGGTGATACAGGGCATGCTTATATTCCACAGTTTATCACAGTTAAAAAGCTGAAATGTTGGTTATTGGTGGCTTTCATTTATGGAAAGAAAATTCCAGTAACCTTTCCATGACTTGATGTTTTGTTTCATCCCTTTAGCCTAGAGAAGATATATGACAACCTATGGAGTTTGGATGCTTGTATATTGTGTATTGTATCATTCAAAAAGGAAACGTAGTTTTCTTTTCGAATCTCCCTTTCACCACCACTGTAACTAGAAGAACCTTGCTGGGGGGACATAGGGTTCACTAACAAAGTCTCAGGAGGAAAGTCAATGAGTCTAAAATCATCTTTCATTTGAAATATTCTTACTGGCTTCGTAATGAAAACATGTTTCAAAATAAAGTAACATTTTGAAAAGGCAAGTTTTCAGGCCTTTCGTTTTCATACTTTATTTACGTATTCTCATCTTGTTTGTGCTGCTTTAAGACAATGCCTAATACCCTGCTAAAAAAAAACACAATAATTTGTAAATGTGAGTTTTGGTCATCAGCAGAGGTGAGACTTTCAAAGAAGCTGTAGTGACTTAAAAGCAGAAATCCTGCCGAAACCACTTTAGTGCATTTAGCAATAAATCGCAAACAATAATGAATAAAACATACTGAGTCCTCACTTTTGAAAGTGTGAGTACAGGACACGCACATCTTTAGCCTGCGTTATTTAAGCAGTGGCAAAATTCAAGCACCTAGCAAAATCAGTAGAGCTCCTATTTCTTTTTCCGTTCTGTGCTAGAAGCAGTTTCTCAAACAGTTACCAGACCGAAATGAAGAGTTTTATTATGTCTGAAAACCAGTGTTGCTTTAACTCCCTTAAAATACTGCTAAACCGTTATAGATTTCGAGGTAGGAATAGCTAGTAGAAACTTTACATTGAAATAATTCCGGGAAAACAGAAGCACAGACAGTGACTAGAAGATATTTTAGAGATGAGTGTCAAGGACAGCCTACCTTTAATCAAGGATGTGATCACAAATACCCACACGTGGAACGCAGGGTAACGCCAACACAGCCATCTCTCAGGATGCATTGCCAGAAGAAGAATGGACCTTCGTTTGGAGGAAAGAGGTCTGGGAAAATCCAGAAACAGAAGGCAAGGAGACACAGAAGCCTCTTGGATGGTAAGCAGGTGGTACAAAGATTTCAGTTTTGCCTTTGCAGTGAACTCTGCAGTCTCCCGAGCGCAGCAAAGCTTTGCAGAGTTGCTCCTGCTGTCACCAGGCGAGGAGAGCTTATGCTGCGCAGGGAGAAGGGAGTCGGGCAGTGCTCGATCAGGTGACTTTTCACATTTCCAGTCACCCTCACCCTTGCCTCTGGGGGAATGTACGAGCGTGCAGGAGAGAGGGAAGGCGGCTGTGTTCGTGGAGGGGGGAGGCATCTGTCCAGCCCTTCACCCACTGCCTAGAGAACAGTCACCCAAAAGCAGCCGCTTTAGCTATTGCTTGGTGTGATTTCTTCACAGATCCCACCTGAGTGAGTCTGTCAGAATACGCAGGTATGAAACGACTTGACTTTCACGGCTGAGGACCAGCTCTGCTGCAAGTGAAATGGATGCTCTGTGGTTTTAACACCTCTGCCAGAAACAGCCTTGAAATAGAAAGAGCATCATGTCCCAGAATTGCTTGACAGTTTTCCAGGTGGACAGCTCTAAGGCAAATAAATTTATTATTGCCATCTGATAAAAACATCTCAGCGTGCTAAATTCTTTCCTGATAGACAAGTCAGCTCACAACATCAGTTTTCCTGTGATTTTTTTTCTGTGGTGTGATCCATGTGCTGGTGTGCTGCTGGTGTGGAAACAGAGCAGTAGACTGAAGGAACAACACCAAGTGCTGTCACAGGAGTAGCTAACAGGCTGGGTTCACTAGGATAGAGCATTACTGTTAGTCACAGAAGTTAAAAAAAAAACCCAAAGATCCCTATCCTGTAAAGGTTAATTTGTGTTTGCTCCTCAGACATTCAGTATGGGTGTCCTTGCAACGGGAATGCCTGAAAAGAAACTACAGGAAAAAGGTCTGAGAAAGTGAGTGCCCTGTTTAACTGGGGAGGGGTGGATGGCGTCAAAGGGGACTTGGTGCCCTCCAGCCCCTCTGAAAGCAGCTCCAACAGGGAATCTCCTTTATGTATGCTCAACTCAGCATGAACAAGTCAGAGTGACTGGATGGATGGTTAGATGGAAACAGAAATACTGCTGATTTCCAGGCAGCTACATTGTAAAAGTGTGGAGAGAAAAGAAAAGCTGTAAAAAGAATGAGGACACCCCTCGGACGGCAGACTGCAGAGGCAAGGCCTCTCAGGATGAGAAAGTGGTTTCTCTTCTACACAGGCTGCTAAAATACGGGTAGGAGGGAAGGGGTCTGTGTGGGAGAAAGACACTTAGGAATGAGTTGTCTGCCAGGAGATATTCGAAGTGGATGAAGTTACCCAGAGCAGGACTGAGGGAAGAAAAGGCAGTTTTGGAGGATTACTAACAGGAACCCTGCCCCAGAGCTCACTGGAGCTGGCATAAATATTGGTGCTGACTGAGGGGAGCCAACTGAGGTTGAGCCACACCTCTGCAAGGAGCTGAGAAAACAAAAAATCAAACCCACAGGAGCGTGTGGGTGCTGGGTGTGATCTTACACTGTCAAAAGCAGCAACAAACTAAATGTGAATGTGAGTAAACGAGAGGCCATGAGACACAGCTATGAGGTGCTGTGAGGTGCAAGTAGAAGCTGGATACAATATTAACTCTCCTTCCAAAGGGTTTTGTTTTAAGATGAAAGTGTGAGCTTTTCCACAATGATTTTTTCCTCCAAATTTCCATTTTGCTAACATTCTCCAAAAAAGTAAAAAAAAAAAAAAAAAAGCTTTGCCTTCCTTTGCTTTGAGTTGTGTCTGGCTTTCCCAGACTGAAATGGCTGTTAAAATGAAGTTAGCACTCTACATCCGTAAGGTTGCTCTTCCCTTACCTTACTCCATGAAGCTAATACTTCTTCCCTGAATTTATGCTGCCTAAGGTGCAACAGAAGTATGCAGCCAAGAGGCATCACAGGACCCCTGTGCCTTGCTGTAGTGCATCGTGGCAGGCAGACTCCTGTGAGATCCCAGTCCACGTATCAGGATTAGACACAGTAACATATGCAGGTACAATTTGAAAACCAATTGACCTCAAATTAAAATGTTTTGAAGTTTCCAAGACTTTTTATCCTGGTGAACAAACTGACAGGTCGGGGAGTTTGGTGTGAGTGTTGTTTCCCCCCTCCAAAAACAGAGGAAAGCATTGGCAAGACCAGCTGGCAAGGTGATCCTTACTGCCAAGCTTGAGGAAAGGAGCTGTGTTTGGTGGTGGAGGGAAGACACCAGGGAAGCAGGCCGAGCTAGGAGGCAATGTGCGTCCTTCAGTGAGCAGATGGGAGGAGGGATGCTGTGCCTGCCCTGCCACTAGGACATTGTGGCTGGCACTGCCTATGGGAAGGCATGAGAGGAAGGATAAAGAGCTCAAACCATGGCAAGCAGGCAGTGAGGCATCCAGCTGGAGAGGCCAGAGAGACCAGCTGAGCTCCTGCCTTTGTGGCAGGGAAGCCACCCAGAAGCAGAGAAGAAAGTGTGTGAATCATTGCTGTTAGGGAAAGTGTTTAATTGAATCTAGCATGAACTGGCCAAGGTGGGTGTCAATATGCCAAACCCAAACAGCAAGAACAGACAGAGCTTTTTACTTTTCCTTTGCCCTGTCTGAACCTGAGAAAAAACTTCTTCACTGTGAGGGTGACGGAGCACTGGAACAGGTTGCCCAGGGAGGTGGTGGAGTCTCCTTCGCTGGAGATATTCAAAAGCCGTCTGGATGTGATCCTGGGCAATATGCTCTAGGTGACCCTGCTTGAGCAGGGAGGTTGGACTAGATGATCTCCTGAGGTCCCTTCCAACCTCAACGATTCTGTGATTCTGTGATTCTGTCCGTGTGGAAGCAGACGTTGAATCAATCCCTTTACATCTGCTTGGAGAACATGCTGACTCAGACCAAAATGTCTAGCCTCCTTTCTTCAGGGGAGATGGCTCAGCCAACAGAGGACAGGCACCTTGTAGGGATGCACAGAATCTGCCTGCTGTAATGGTTTCTAGCAGAAAAGTACTGTGGGGGATGAGCTGCCTCTCTCTGCATTCTTATTCAGGGCAACCCATACCCTCGCTCCTGTGGCAGTGCTGAAGCAGCTGTGAAGAAACTGGCAGGGGTCCCAGCCGCACTGCACGGTACGCCTATGCTGCTGCTTCTCACCACTGCAAGCAGACAGCTGCAAAGAAAGCGGTACGGCTCGTGGGAACCATCTCCTCAGTTAGAGCTCACTCCTATGCAGGTGTTTACATGTAGCACTGCTCTGGGCCTGGGACACACACTGCTAATGAAAACGATGCCAGAGTAAGGAAACAAGAGCTATTTTTTTCTTTCTATTGAAACTATCAGTCTAATTATAGTTTTACTGAGGGCTCCATAGTCAAATATGGGTTGTTTGTGCATTAGCTGAAGTATAAGAAGGCAAAAAGATGAAGAGGGAACTTGGTGCAGTCTCAGACAGGGAAGAAACTTCTCAGGGTAGGAGACATTATAATTTAGCTTTACGATTTAGACAAAAGGCAACAGGTTGGGAAGAGAGGAGGAGGCTGGAAAGGGAAGGCTCTTTGGAAATTGCAGAGTGTTTTGGACACAGACAGTTGCAAGGTGAAGGGGAGAGGGAGCAAAATAAAGTGCTTGCAAGGGAGCGGGCAGAGGCTGGCACACTGCGGAATGACACAGGGGACTGGGATGGGTTTACATCCGTAATCTTGCGCTTCCTTCACCTTACTCCACGAAGCTAATACTCCTCCCTGAATTTGTGCTGCCTAAGGTGCAACAGAAGTATGCAGCCAAGAGGCATCACAGGACCCCTGTGCCTTGCTGTAGTGCATCGTGGCAGGCAGACTCCTGTGAGACCCCAGTCCATGTATCGGGTTTCTATTACTCTGTGTTAGTACAGCGCCAAGCACAGCTGGGATCCGCTGTTCCATGTAACTCCTGGGCAGCTCTAAAATAAACAAGGCTAATAAAGCATTTGTCAGACGAGAATATTAGGAGTCCGGTTTTCATCGCCTCATTGTCAGACATCCATCCATCACACAAGCACTCCCAGGTCATCATCCCTTGCTCGTAGTTTGGTACGGTCAAGCTTGTCAAGCCTCACACACTGTGCTGTGTGCTTCACACAGCTGGTAACCCTCCTGCCCTCCCCTGCAGTGAGGCCTAGATTTCACCCATGTGTAAGCCCTGGGCTGTGGCCTCTGTCCTCCTGTGCCAGCAGCATTTGCTCTCTGGTACGTTAGCCGCTGGTCGGTGGCTTCTAGAGTGCAGGAGATGTGGCGTGTGAGTGAGCTTACCGTGTGAGGATGGAGCTTAGGGCAGTACTGCATGCTTCAAGGTTATGTATGCTAGGGCATTTTTGGTTACTCAGATTTTAAATGATGGGTGGGAAGAGGCCATGCAGCTGACATTGACCAGAGCATTTTCCCATACGGAGCATATAATTTTTTCACCTCACCGGTTTGCTCTGTGATGCAGTCGCTTCTTCCTACTTCATGCGCTTTAAAGGGGTTGAACCATAACGCCTCTGTCAGCTCCCCTTGTTTCCCTGGCTATAATGTCAGATAAGCTAGGCAGTCATCAGACAAAACATGGAGGACGTTAATGAGGATGCCTACTCCCATGGGGCTGCCTGCTAAGGAGCTGCAGTACCCACAACACTAACATAAATATACATCCTTTTAAAGCCAAAGTGTCACTGATGGCAACATCCCTAGAACACCCTTCACCGTACATGTGGAGTCTACTAGCATTATTCTTTTTAGTTTCAGTGACCTCCAACCTGGACTTACCCTTGTCATTTGGTGGAGGTTTATATAGGCTGGTGGAACCTAATTCATTTGGAAGAACTAAAACCAAAGCCTCCATCATTGTTTGGCTTTTCTAGTATTCTCAAAGGAAAAAAATCTTGGAATGTGTTTTTGCAAAATAAATCTTTGGGCACTTCAGTAATATAAATATCTTCCTCTGGTGCAAACATACTTTTATATGGGAGTTTTGGATGTTTGTGTACCTTCTTTTGACCTCTTTAAATAAATACCGTTTTTCTTTAGTGTCGTAATGGAAATTAAGACATGTTTTTAAGCAACACTGAAGGGATATAATGGAAATAAACCACCAGACAATCACAACAGAAAG